GGCCGGCCGGGCGGGTTTGGGGCATCAGAAAAGGCGCTCGGTACCGAGTTACCGGCCGGTAGCGGTGTGACGGTCGCTGTCCGTGAGCTCCCGTGATAGCGGTGCGCGAGTAACGCAGGAAATTCTCCCCCGAGGTACCTCGGAGTTATGCCCGCGTACAGCGCTGCGGACGATGCGCTGACAACCAAGTTGGTGACTTTCTATGAGCACCTGAAGGATTCCTCCGTGCCTTCCCACCAGGCGACTGTGCTCCTGTTCGACCCCAGCAATGGCACTTTGAAAGCTGTAAGTCTCGTGTGTCCTGCCTTCTCCTCTGCTCATGCTGTTCGTTCTCACTTCTGCTTTTTGGAAGTTGGAGGTGGTGTAAATTGGCCTGGATTTACCAACAGGATTTGGCTTAAAGCTGTCTGTATTTTGCTTCTGTTAAACTGTACTCTCTGTGCTATTTACTGAAGCCTGTGATTTAAATCTGATAGCTCAGAGTGTAACCAGAAGAGAGAAATTATTAGGAGTTTATCTTGCATTTTAAAGAAAAAATACCCCTCCACCTTACTGGGTAAAGAACGGATCTTGAACCATCTTAACTCTCAAGTTGAAAGAGATTTACAATTTGCATTGCAGGGACTAGTCTTCAGAGTCTGATTACTTTATTTAAAGAATTTAAATTTTTTTTTAAAATTAAAATTTTTTTTTTCTAAGAATGGTGATGATTTGCATTGCAATTTAGTAATAATGATTTATTAATCATTAATAAATGATTCATTAATCATTTATTAATCAGGGACAAAACCGGTCAAGAAAACTATCTTGGGTTCTTCTACCAAACCCCTTGAGTTTTTTGCCCCATAATTAATATGTATGCAGTAGCTAATGGTCATTGAGGCAGGAGTGTCCCATGTGTGATGCACATTTGAGGAATTCCATGGTTCCCTGTCGCCCCTCTGTACAGACCAGGACAGAATGGGGAATCACTGCCAGCTTGCTCTGCTCTGCTCCCTGCTCTTCCTGGAGCACAGAGTAATGGAGTCACATCCATGTGTTCCCTGTGCTGTATGCCAGGGAAGGGCAGTGCCTCAGGAGCTGGGTGAGTTAGAGGTGGCTCTTCTCTGATCATTTTCACTCCTTTTGTGCTGATGGAATGATGTGGAAGAACTGGGATAAACAGAGGAGCTGCCCAGTTTAAATGTGACTTTGTATGGTTTGTGGTTGCTATGATAATAATTGCTGACTTCTACATGCGTATATCTTTTATATCTGTAACATCACATCATTCCCAAGTTGGATGAGTTTGGTATTTATTGATTTTTCGGTGTTCACTTCAGTCTGTTTGAATTTTTTAAAGGTCATGGATGGCAGTGTCATCACAGCAAAACGAACAGCTGCAGTTTCTGCCATTGCTACCAAGGTGTGTCTTCTGTTCTCTAAGTGGGGATTGGAGTTATAAAATAGCTAGAACAAATTATGCAAATGTCTTTTCATCCAATACAGCTTGAAATTAGATTTATCATAACATATGCACTTTCAGGGAAAACTTAAATTCACTGTTTTGAGTCAGTCATGTCTGGCTTTTACACTTTGTGTGTGATTGGAGAAGGAACCTGAGCTATATTTTTGTGGCTTCTGTGTACCCTCTTCTAGGAATTCACTGAGCTGTCTTTCACTGTTTTTTTCTTTCTTTTGTTTCTGTTTTAACATGCCCCTTTATGGCTTTGAGTGATGTAGCTGTGGTGATATATTGAATTTTATTTAGATAGATGCCTTCTGCTGTCAGGACAGGACAGGTGGGTGGCACTGGACCTGTAAAAAGAGGGGAAAAGCACATTTCCATTTCTTTTAAGATAGATGATGCCCAGTATAGATGGATAACTTGTCCAGAGGTGTTTGTCTGTCTGTCAGTGTCTCTGTTGTCACTGGAAGGTGTCCAGATGCCCGTCCCTGACCATGGCCATAAATTTCAGTGTCTAGACAGGTGAGGTGTATCTGACTGTGCATTGCTTTAAATCACTGCAATTTCAGCTGGAAATTTTTGTGTTGAGTTTCTTTTTTAAATGCTATTTTTGGTTGGGCTGCTAACATCAGGAAGAGAGCAAATGGCCATGCATTGCACAGCAGGGTTTGAGCTTTCACCCCAAAGGCTGAGGCAGTAAGAAGAGGGCCAGAGATGAAAAATAGTGTTGTTTGTCACTCCTCAGCTTTGCATCAGAATGAAGGCTGATCTCACTGTTTTGTGAGGGGCAGTTCATGCCAGGGTGACTCTATCCATGGCAATGGAGCTACACTGGCATAAAACTGAGTGAAGGACCTGTCCCCAGGAGCTTCTCCTGAACCAAAGGACAGAATGATTTACAATGAACTCTTTGGACAGGAGGTGACAGGACCTCATTCATTTTGGCCATTCTGTATTTGGTCAGTTCTATGGTTTTTATGCAGTCCATGCTGGCTTCAAAGGAGCTTGGCTGCTGAAGGTACTTCAAGATCAGATCCTTCATTGTCATCTGTTCTTTTGGAAATTTTCAGGAGTGTTTGAGTTTAGCTCATATTTGTCATCTTGTTTTTATGGCATTTGCTTTTCACAGACCCCTCTTACGCAAAGGACCTTTGAAATCAGGGCTTCACAGCCTTTAAAAGGCACATTAAAACAAATTCTTACTACTGGGAAATGGCATCAATGAGATTTTTCTCCATTTGTTAGCAGCAGAATAAACCTTGAGAGCCTGGACAATTCTAAAGCTTTTTAGGCAGGAGTGAGTGGCCACAGCAAATGCATAAACAAGACACAAGGATAGTTAGGGCTGGGCTCCAGCAGCTCTGTCTTCCTCTTTGCCAAGTGCTGGTGAATCACAGACAAGAACTAAAACAGAGAGCCAAAAACAATTGTGGAACTGAATTTTATTATTTGTTCCTCAGAACCATCCCTACTTTTACCATGTCTCTGTATTATGGCTCTTGCAGTGCCAGGATATGCTTGTGGTGGGATTTATGGCTCCAGTGAATGCAAAGAGGTGGATTGGTGTGGGGCTGCCAGGGCCAGTTTATCTGTGCAGCTGCCACTCTCAGTCCTGATGGTTTTTGGGGTTCTGAGCCCTGCTTTCAGCCAGTGCAGAACACCAGCACTGGGGTTTTACACTTAATCAGCCACATGGGTGTGTTAATATTGGAGTGTGCAGAGGCCCCAGAACTTGCTGTTCATGCTGTTGCATCTTAAATCTGAATTTCAAGTCAGACAATTCAACGCTGGAATTAAGCCAAGATGTGCTTTGGTGCTACTGATGCTTGCTTGTGCATTAAAAGAAAGGCACAATATATATAGTGATTGTTGAATACTTGTTTATATACTTTTCTGCTGTTTAAAAGGACTAACAATACTTTTATAGTATTTTGAAATATATTTGTAATGCCTGTTAATATATTATTCTTACATATTCTCTTTTGATTTTTTTTGTATTTGTGATCCTGTTCAGTTGTTGATGCCACCTTTTGCAGAAGTGCTGTGCATTTTGGGAGCTGGTGTTCAAGCATACAGCCATTATGATATCTTCACAGAACTGTTCACATTTAAAGAGGTAACAGACACTTCTCAAAAAGATACATTTATTTTTCTCTAGCAGGATTCATTGTAAAGAAAGTACAGCCAGTGAAGTTGTATCAGCTCAGGCTGGGATGGAGCTCCTGTTCCCAGGGGAGCCCTCACAGTGCTGTGCACTGATACTCCAGGGCTCTGATAACACCCCAGTGTTTTGGCTGCTTCTGAGCAGTGCTCATGCAGCATCAAGGCTGTCTCTGCAACATTTGTTTCTGTTTTAATAAACTGCCTTTATCTTGACCCACTAATATTTCCCTCTTATTTTCTCTTCCCTCTCCCTGTGCTGCTGGGGAGGGGAGTGATGGAACAGTTTTGTGGGCACCTGGTATCCAGCCATGGTCAATCTACCATAAAAGTTAAGATTACCACATTTTGGTTCTGTTTCTATGGAACCCAAGAAGAGTCAGAGCAGCAAGAATTTCTTGCTCAAGTGTTGGTATTTAAAAAGAAAAAATGTTGGAATCAAAGTTGTTTCAGATAGCTTTTTGTCTGAGAAGATCCTACTGTATTTGCCATACTTGGATAAGTTTTTTATGACTTTCCTTTAAATGTAATTTTCAGAAATATTTGCATTTTATAAGAATAAACTCCTCTTCAAGGAGATGTTATTCTAGCATCACAAACAGACATTCAAATGTAGCTGAGCACTCTTGGCATTTACTCACTTGTATGATAACATTAAAGGCGGGAAAAAAACTCCAGCCTTTAGGAGATGTTTAACTATCTACTGAGAACTGAAATGAAATGTTCTGTCTCAGCAAGGAGAAGTTCTCCATGTTGACCTGTGCGTGTTTTGTTGTTTCCCCCGAGGTGCGGATCTGGAATCGCACCAAGGACAGGGCAGTGCAGTTCGCCAGCGCTGCCCGCGGCCCCGTGCGGGTCTGCGCCTCCGCCCAGGAGGCGGTGACAGGGGCCGATGTCATCGTGACAGTCACCATGGCAACGGCTCCCATCCTCTTCGGGGACTGGGTGAAGCCAGGTGCCCACATCAATGGTAGGTTCTTGTGTGCAGCCGGTGTTTATTAGCACTTTGTTTAGCATCGCCATCTGTTGAGAAGCAGTTCTCCGTGCTCTGTGGAGTGAATGTTCTTTACATTTTGACTTTTCCACCTTACTGAGGACCCCTTTTCCCAGCCCTGTCCTCCTGGAGTCAGAATGCCTGCATAATCCATTTTTGCTAGAGCATGGGATTTGCTCTATTCCCATGTACTCTTTTCTCTTAGTGGTGCATCATTGTGGCATTTTCGGGGTTCCCCAGATGGAGGAGGAAATGATGAATCTGACTCCATGTTCTTAGAAGGCTAATATATTATTTTATGATCTATGTTATATAAAAGAATGCTATGCTAAAGAATACTAAACTATACTAAAGAGTAGAGAAAGGATACTTGCAGAAGGCTAAAAGATACTAATGAAAAAGTTGTGACTCTCTCCTCAGAGTCTGACACAGCTGGACAGTGATTGGCCATTAAGTTAAAACAATTCACATGAAACCGGTGAAAAAATCACCTGTTGGTCAACAGTGTCCAAAACACATTCCAAAGCAGCAAAACACAGGAGAAGCAAATGAGATAATATTGTTTTCCTTTTTCTCTGAGGCTTCCCAGCTTCCCAGGAGAAGAATCCTGGGCAAGGGGATTTTTCCAGAAAATATGACAGTGGTGCACCATCTTTGTTCTCATGTTGTCATTATTTTCACCTTCCTCTCTATTTAAGTAACCCATACAAATGTTCTTATTTCTAAGTAGTTACTGCTCATTGTTACATTGCCCTTGTGGTATCATCTTTTCTTCCACCAATTTTGTAATCTCCTCTATTTGTTTCTTTTGGAGCTGATCACACCAATTTACTTTTTTACTTGAGTTATGAAGATGCAGTAACTGAGTTAAGAACATCATAATTTAACCTCTAATTGTAGTGAGGTTTGGAGTGGTGCTTTTTTTGTTGCCTGCCTTGTAATGATGTTGCCACACTATTGTTTGGAGTTTCTGGATGTGCCTCTGTTTATTTTCATTAATTGTGGGTCTTTTTCAGATGACCTTGTGCACTTTCCAGACAGCCTGGTAATAAGACAAAAGCAAGTTCTCAAAGGGAGCAATTTAAAGAAAGGTCCCACATTCCAGCAGCTTCCTACCAATTTTTCAAACTCAGTTTAGTCCTTTGTCATTGAAAGTTGCTGTCTGTGTTGTGTCATTGCATGGAAGTCAGAAATAGAACAAAATCAATTAAGGTCCACAGTCACTGGGCAACACAGACACAAAGAGCTCTCTCCTTTCCTTTCCTTTTTTTACCCTTCATTGAAGCATTTGTACTGTTTGGAGAGGCATTTGAGCAACAAATGCAAATGTGGCAAATGCAAATTTATTGTTCTTTAACAGCTGGGTGTGTAAAAAATATCTGAATACAGTATAATTGGGTAGTTCTTTTAGCTTTTGTTTGGTTTCTTGTTTGCTTGTTTTTTAATCCCAAAACAAGTTGATGATGATCTTGGTGCTGTGTAAAAAAAAATTAAGCTCCATGATTTGTTTTCAGTTTCTCTGGGTAAGTGATAATCTAATTAAGGTGTGAAAAATTCCTTTGGTAATGATCTGATGAAAACAATGGTATAAAAGGTAACAGACAAAGGGAGAGGATTTTCTTTTGCCTCAGCTACTCAGACTCTTCTGACAAAGCTGTTTTACTGACATATCAGATCTTGAATGGGTTTTTTTTTGTTGTCCTATCAATCAGTATTTGTCCAAGGCTAACACTTGAATTTTTGTACATTAAATTTCCATAATAATGTTGATTGTTACTTCACACGTGTCTTTTGAACAAAATGCGGTTGGAATTTGTTTTAAACATTGCTCCCAAGTTCATCAGTTTTGTTGCTTTAGCTGTTGGAGCAAGCAGACCAGACTGGAGAGAACTGGATGATGAGCTGATGAAGAATTCTGTTCTGTTTGTGGATTCCAGAGATGCTGCTCTTACAGAATCAGGAGATGTTATTTTATCAGGGGTAAGGCTTTCTGAAACAGAGTTTTATTTTTGTGGCAATTGGCTTGCATTTGAAATGAGTTGTTATTGATGATGACCTGCACTGAAACCTTTAGGGCATCAAAATGTAATTGTTGATGCTTTCCAGGCAGGGGTTGAAGGATAAACTGGTTTAAAACTGCAATTGCTCTGTCTGTGACCAAACCATGCAACCTCTGTATCTGCCATTATATGACACCATATTACAGTAGCATGTTTTCAGCACTGGCTTTTGATGGTAACAATGTATTGTTGTTGAAAGACTTACATTTCCTGGAGTGTTTGGTCATCATAAATATTCTTCAAATCTGTTTATTAAAACCTGTAACTTTCTTCCCCTGAGGCTTCAGTGTGATTGACACTGAATGGACCAGCCCAAAGAATGGACCACACAAGCCAAGCAGACAATGATCTGCACAGATTTGCCAGCAGGGATTCTTTGAGCTTCAGTGGAGTTTTCTTTTTCTCTTTTAATGTGTCTGCCGAATAAATATGATTTACACTTTTGAGGTTTAACATAAGAGCTCCAGATATGGTAATGTGTGTGGAATCCCATGTGTTTTGTTGGACAAGTAACAAGCTATCCTCTGTAAAAAAACTTACTGAGGAAAGTCTGCCAGCTGTTTTTCTTTGAAAACCATTCTGCTCCTCTGATTTCTGTCCAGTTTCTATATAATTTGTCTGAATGTTGATCTGCTTCACCATGGAAAGTAATCAGTTTTGGGATGCAGCACTGGAGGAGTTCTTTCTTTTGAAGTCATTCAGAAGAAAAGGTTTTTTTTTTTTTTCCTCTTAATGTATGTGTGGGTATTATGTTTTTGTATAAATATGTATTTTTTTTCACAGGCGGAGATTTTTGCTGAGCTGGGGGAGGTTTTGAAGGGTACAAAACCAGCCCTGCCTGAGAAAACAACAGTGTTTAAATCATTGGGTAAGAACAGCCCCTCCTGTGTCCAAGTCTGACAGAAAACAATGCCTTGTTCTTCGTTAGGTCCCCCATGCGTGGGAAAGCTGCTGATCATCTCCAGAACCACTGTGGCACTGCACTGTCCACAAGAAAGTAGACTCTGATTTGCATTTTCCCTTTTTATTTCCCTTCTTGTTTATCTAGCAGGATTGATGTAATGAAAAGTGATAGGAAAGCAGGCAAACAATACCAGTCCATTTTCCATTTCACAGTTGTTGAAGACATGAGTGCAGCATTTATTAACAGAGCACAGCCCGACTGCCCCGCTGTTCCACCGTGGGGTCTGTCTGACCTGGGACAATGTCACACTGTCCTGTGGGGCTGGCCTTGGGGAAAGGGTGCCACTGGGCATGAATTGCCATGCTCTGAGCTACATGACATCTCCAAAAGGGCCCAGTTGTGATATGAACACTGAAAATTAGATTCCTGCTGTTACATTAACTTCTTACAGCACACCCAACACTGCATGATGGCTGTGGACTTTGAATGTCACACTGTAAGTGTTTGGGATGGGAAGTAATTCCTGTTCCTCTCCAGTTAGATCATCTCCTGAGTCTTCTTGTTCCCTTCTGAAGCAAAATTATTTGTACAGCTGAATAGCTGTTTGAAGGTAACTTCAATTCTTTTTCAGGGATGGCAGTTGAAGACACAGTAGCTGCAAAATTTGTTTATGATGCCTGGTCAGCTGGTAACTAAAGAGAGAAGACTACAATGCCAGTGAGGCCAAGAAAATCATTTGCACTTAGTTTTCCTGAATCCTGTGCTAACAAGAAAGGCACCAATCCTATCTACATGCGGCCCTTCTAGAACACTCAAGAAGGAAAAGTAAAATTTCAGCAATAGACTAATTTCTGAAGTCTTCTAATTTCAAGTATTGGATACTTGCAGTATTGTCAATAAATGTCTCTCTTTTGTAACAGCAAGTATTAGATGCTTGCAGTGATACTAACAAGGCTATCTTTCCATATTTTGGTATAATTCTGGAATCAATGCCTTTCCTCTCTAATTATTTATGTAGCAGAAGCCTGTGTGTAGATTTCGTGGTTTTTAGAGGGATTATTCATTCTGGTGTAAAATAGAACAGTTTGTAGAATGGGCTCTGGCATCATATTTACCTGAGGGTACTTTAGATGCAGCTGTGGGTTTCAGTGCTCCAGTGACAGTGACTTTGTCTTCAGGCTCCAAGGCACACAGCCTTCCTCTGGCCCCTGGACACACCTTCCCTTCCAGCTCACTGGAAGTCACCATTTTTTTCAGCCCTTGCAATCCACCTTCTTTTGCCCTCAGTGGTTTTTCAGTAAGGGCACAGTTCTGAGTGGGGGTTTATGTAATCAAATAATACCTCCCTCCAGTTGGGTTTCTCCTTAGTACCTCCCTTAGTACCTGCCTCACTGGATATTGCCATTTTCACATTGCAAGGAGTCACACAGAATGTGAGGACTAAGATGTGTTCTGATTTAACTTTTATCTCAATTCTGTAGGGAGATTTTGCTGTTAATCTATGGTGCCTCTGAGTTGTTTTGCTAAGCTTCTTGAAGGCTGGAACCACACAAACTGATTTCAAGTATGCAGGCAAATCTTTTCAGTTAGGCTGTACCATGCTTCAATTGCTAATTGTTCTATTATCACAGATATTAGCTGGGGCAGGAATTTTCATGATCCTTTCCTGGCAGAGGAGCCCAGTCACATAAGGAAAAGTTCCAGTTTTGTTCTGTTATGCAACGGCCTTGCAAAAGAGTGAGCATCTGCTGAAAAACAGCTATTGCCCTGGAAACAAATTCCTGTCTCAGGCTCACAAGTTGTGCCTTGTGAAATTTTATTTCCATTTTCACATTATTTCATGCAGGCTATTAAGTGTTTCTTCCTGCTGTGGAAGACTAGGATGGCATTTTGTAACATGCCAGTAGAATAGAGCAGAGCAACAGGAAGGAGGGTCAGGAGCAGCTGGCATTAAAGCCCTGGAGAATGCATAGGTAGGTGTAGAAGAGGTTAATGAGTACAGTGCAGGTGTGATGTAAATAATACTCCCAGTTGTATGCCTGGTGTAAGCTAGTTGGAAAATGTACTAAGTGGCAGAGGTAGCATAGAAAGGTACCAGACCACTGATAGGCCTGAAGGATGTTTGGTGTGGATCCAAACTGAACTCCACTGATCCTGTTTATTCCATCAGAAAAAAAACAACAGAAATTTCTCTGGGAGCTTCTGTGTTTTAACTGCAGCGAAATTACCCTTCTGTTTTTACATGTCTTGTTTCTTCTCTGTCATTTCTGAAGTGTTCAGAAGCTTGTGTTGACTTAGTTTCTTGGTTCATTCATTCACTAACCTGAGGTAAACATGAAAGCAGATGATGCTCCATTATTCAATGACTCCACAGAAACTTGCAATTAATAATTATAACAGTATTATGCCCTTTCTGGGCCAGTGTTATACCAGGTTTGAAATTTGAAGTGAGATGTAGTGTTTGGGAAGAAGGTAAGTCCAGTTTATTTTCACATGTACTCCCCTACAGACTATGGACTTTAAAAAATAAATGGAGCCAGTCCAAAGACCTGGTTCTGAAAACCCACATTGTTCTCAGCTTCATTGGCAGTGAGAGATTTTGGGAGCCTGGCTTCAGTGTTGTACCTCTGATGTCATGAAGTTCAGCTACAATGGGAATTGCTTGGATGCCACCTTTAGATTTTCTGAGGGGAAATATTAGCATCAATTTCTATGTTTCCTTCTCTTACAAACTAATGGATCATGAAATTGTGTAACTTGCATTTATATTAAAATTAAATAGATACTGCTGTTTGTCTTTGACATTCATTTTGTTGTCCATTTCTTTTGTAGTTTGTGGTTGATTTATTTGTTGACAAGAAAGAAAGTATTGAAGTTGTTGCAGTGACTGCTCTCTCAATAAATGTGATCACTGAATGCAAATGGAAGAAATAGGGAGTTCTCTGTTCCTCAGTGATACTCAGATTTTCAGTTGTCCTATGCTGCACATTTTCTGAATGTCTGTTCAGTGCAGAGTATTAAATCCTTAAGAAGGAGAACCTTGTACTTGGGCTGTGCTTGTGTGAGATTGCCTGGTTTTATGGTTTGGGTTTGGGTTCTGCTCTAGGATTGCGCATGTGGCACATAAAATCTCTCCAGCTGAACTGAAAGGAGTCACAGCTGGGCTTCCAGTGCTCCCAAACTCTAAAGGAAGCAAAGGGGTTGGTAAAATCTGAAAACAGCAAAGCACATGAGTGGAAAAACCAATCATGGAAGGTTGCACAGAACAGGACTTTGATGTGATTGCTTAATATAAGAACATATCAACCTGCTGTGTGCAGGAATCCAAGCAGGGAAGAATGCAGTATAAAGTCCATCCAATAAAAGATGTAATATACAAATCACAGTCACAAAATGAAGTGGAAAGAAGAAACATGAAAAAAAACAGATCATTAACCAGGATTAGCATCCACAAATGCAGCAGAGCCCTAAGGAAAAAATCATAGCTGGCTAATGGAAAGATATAAAAAGAGCTTTAAAGATAAATGTTCTGCTAATGAATGTGCATGCAAAATCTGTGATCTTAGCCAGAGCATGGCTGCTAAAAGCACTTTAATAGATTCACAAAGCTCAACAGGAGTGCTTAATTTATATCTGATAGTGCTGGCTTCCCAGGGGAACTGGGGAACCCTGCTGTGAATGCCTCCAGATAGAGTGGGAAGAGCAGGAGCTTCCACAGCAGCTCAGCTCATTTTCTTTTTTTATTTTTATGAGCTGTGTGCGATACACAGCTCTCAAGCTAAGGCTGACAACAACCCACAGAAAATGGTGTGGGATACGAATCCTCATTTCTGGGACTTTGCATGGAAAATGCAGCCTATAGGAACCAAGCTGGGGATATACCAAAATAGATCCAAGATTTTGAAAGTTAAATCTCAGTTTCTTGCAGTTAAAAGTATTGCAGCCTCGATGACATTTAGGACATGATGGGTGCTGGCAACTGGATCCAGTCTAATGAGACAAGAAAGGAATATTTAACTCACGCTGAACATATCTTGGAAAGCTACTTCGTGTATTTTTAAATTATTGTCAATACAGAAGTAAAAACTTTACTGACAAATATATGAAACTTACAGTGAATTAGTCTTATTTACATTAATTCAGAGGTGATTAGAGTCAATAAACCAGAGCTAAAATCAAGATTCAGATTCCTTTCCTAAACATACACCAGTACTAGGAAGAGAGGTTTTACTGGTCCTTCAGAAGCAAATGGAGAAAACTCAAAGCTCTCAGGCTCTGAGAATGCTCTTTGCATTGTGGTTTTGGAGAAGAAAGGAAGGGCTTTATTAAGGAATGCAGCGGGCCTGGCCTTCACTGGTATTTGAAATTATCTGGACCAAAAGAAATTCAATCCACATAAACAGTTCAGGGACAGAAAGCTTTTTGGTTTTTAACTTCACATTCTTACTTTTTGGCAGAATGTACTTAATATTGCTGTTCACCAGAACTACTCATCCAGAGAGAAAAAATGTTATCCCTGCTGTGCTTCCCAAAGCAATTGGTAACCTCTCTGCCTTTTGCTTTAGCAGACTTCTGAAAATAGTTGAACACTGGAAAAAGGGAAAGGTAATGAATCAGTAGGTAACAACAACAGATATTATAATTTATAAGCAAGTATCTACAGTTTTTCCAGGGTTCTCGAGTGCCTGTTTTCTTTTATTCACAGCATTCAGGACTTTCTTTCTTGGCCCAAGCTCCATCTGAATACTCTGTAGATCTTCATCAGAACATAGCATCAGGGCATCTAAATCAATTTTTTCTCTCATGAAGACTGGAAGAAACTCATCCAACATCTGTGATGCCAGAAATACCTCAAGGGGTGTATTCTCTGTTTCCTCATCATCCCAAACCACTTCTTCCTCATTCCAAGGGACATCAGCACTGTTTTCAGCATCACCTTCCCTGCCATTCTCAGTGTTTTCATACTGAAAGAGCTCACTGGCTATTGTATCTCTTATACCTTCTTTCTCAGAAAACGCAGTTTCAGGATTTACCTCTGCAGCCAAATTCCTTCCAAACACAATCTTGCCAAGACCTGGCCGCTGAAAAATGGAGAGCTGACTATCGTTATCAGCAAGGTTTTTCTCTCCAAGGTCATTCAGTAACTCATCCTCCTCTTTCTCATCAAACAAATGCATCACACTTTTCCTACCCATATCATCCTCTTGGTCATTCCTTTGTGTTTCCTGCCTTCTTGTGCTGTCAGTTGTCTTTTTTGTCTTGAGTTTCAAGGTATCTTTCAGGTTTTTGGTTAAAGTACTTGTGGCAGTTGAAGTAAATAGCCCAGGCAACTTTACCCTGGAGTGTGTTCCTTTGGAAGAATTCACCGTGCCAACCTTTTCTTTAATATAATTCCTGTTCATTTCCTGCTGGTGTTTCTCCTGGCGCTTCTCACACTCCTTGATTTGTCTCTCCACGTTCCTCTGGGCCTGTGCCTTTTGTTTGGAGACCTTCTTTGGGTTCAGCAGGTTCTGCTCGGTGGCAGCCTTGTCCAGGATCTGCACGCACTCCCTGCGGTCCCTGCTGGCCGCTGCCTCCAGCGGGGTGCGCAGGTCATTGTCCAGAGCAAAGATGTTGGCCCCGAAGTTCACCAGAAAGGAGACGCAGGGGATGTGGCCATTGCAGGCAGCGTGGTGCAGGGGCGTGTTCCCCCAGATGTCACACTTGTCAGGGTCGCCCCTGCCAGGGAAAACAGCGCACAGTGAGCTGGGTACCCACACTGAGCTCTGACACCAAACGTGTCACTGTGCTCCGCTCGGAGGAGAACAGCCCGGGGACAATGGCTCAGCTTGGCCCCAGCTGCTAGAACAGGGCTGCACCCACTGGCACAAGCCCTGAGTGTGGATCTGTGTGTGTGCCATGAGCTCTAATTTCTGCCCTGAGTGTGGCTGTGTGTGTCATGAGCTCTAATTCTGCCTTGAGTGTGTCTCTGTGTGTGCCATGAACTCTAATTCTGCCCTGAATGTGGCTGTGTGTGGTATGAGCTCTCATTCCTGCCCTGTGTGTGCCATGAGCACTCATTCCTGCCCTGTGTGTGCCATGAGCTCTAATTCTGCCTTGAGTGTGTCTCTGTGTGTGCCATGAGCTCTAATTCTGCCCTGAATATGGCTGTGTGTGCCATGAGCTCTCATTCCTGTCCTGAGTGTGGTTCTGTGTGTGGTATGAGCTCTCATTCCTTCCCTGAGTGTTTCTGTGTGTGTGCCATGAGCTCTAATTCTGCCCTGAGTGTGCCATGAGCTCTCATTCCTGCCCTGAGTGTGTCTCTGTGTGTGCCATGAGCTCTCATTCCTGCCCTGAGAGTTCCACGAGCTCCCAGGGTCTGTGACTGCATCTCCCCATAAGGGAGCCAGGGCATTCCCTTTGTCATCCCAGGGTCTGGCAACCAAAAGTGGGCTCAGGCTTCAACTTATTCTCACTGGAATTACTGGCAAAATTGTTTCAAGAACATTTCCATGGATTGATTTTTTTCCTTTTGCATGTCAAATGGAGGGCAATATTAGAAGGTTTCCTCACTGGCCACAGTGATATACATTTAATGAGCTCCTACAGTAACTTTTTACGTAGGTAATAGGTAAGAGTAAAGCCCCGATTACCTATTTGTCTCCACTGGTATTAGTTTAAGCCCAGATAGATGCCATTGTTTGTCAACTCCTTTGTTCTCTGTAAGCTGCTTTTACTCATGGTGGTTTGAAAGGCAGAAGTTCATTTGAAAATAAAATGCCACATTTTTCAATTGAATTTAAAGCCAGTGAAAAGGATTGCTTGATGTTTAACTCTTGCACCGACTTCACACTGAACTACTGCTTGCAGACCTTGAATATTTAGATACACATTTGGCAAGGTGACCTTTGTGTCCTCTTGTGACCAAACAATGGGGTGGCCACAGAAGCCCAAAATCTTTGTTGACTTCAGAGCCAGGGACCAAATTTGCAAGGAGAATTTCTACTCTTGGGAGTTCAAGAATTTCTGCTCTTGGGAGTTGAAGCATTTCAATGACTCGGAGCTGTACTGTGAAACACATGGTACATCCTGTCCCAAAATGTCCTCCAGGCATCACCTCTGCCTTTGGGGCTCTGCAGCAAAGCACTGCCAGGTTTGCTGGGGGTCAGATCTGGGCACAGCCTTCAGCCTGAGCTGCCCCAGGCAGGGCTGAGCTCAGGGGTCCAGCAGAGCCAGCTTTGTCCAGGCTTGGCCACGAGGAGGTGGCAGCTGAGGATCAGAGTTTCTCCTCTCAGCCATGTGGCAGCCATGTGTTCATATTTCTGCTTTTTGGCTGTGCCCTGGGGAGCTGCCTGGCTGTGGCTGGGCGTGCTGGGCTCCTCAGTTCCCACATTTGTGATCTGCCTGGGCACCCTGAGCTGGGGAGGGCTGGGTCATCCATCCCCTTCAGAGCTGGTTGTGGTCTCTGCTGCCCCTGGAACCTGCCAGCCTTTGAGCCTCAAACAATTGACAAACTCCAGGGGCTGCTCCCAGCTCAGGGGGACTTTGCACAAGGTTTGACATCTACTCTGGCTTCTCATGCTCCCTGCTTGCCCAAGGAAAAGGCTCACACAAAACAAAGCAGATTCTGCTATTTGGTCTTGCCTTTATTCATGTACCTGCAAGGCAAGCAGAGAAAATGTCTCCTGATGCCTGGGAAGATAAATTATTTCAAGATGAAAAGGGTTTATTGCTAAATTTCCAAGGGCTAAAGCTTGAGAGTCCTAAAATCTGTAACCACTCTAAAGAAAATTGCCCTGGACCTCAGAGCCTCTTTCAGGAAACCTCTTCAAGGAAAGGATGAATTTGTTAAAAATAATTAAAATACTTTCTCACAAGAAAACATTAACTGACTGAAGAACAGCTCAAACATCTTCTAAAACTCAGCTTCTCCTCAAAAACACATTGAGAATGTAGCCATACCTCTGACAGACACATCTTCCTGATTGTGTCAAGAAATCTTAGATTAAGATAGAGGTAAACACATATGTTTGAAGATTTTGAGGCGATACTGTTTCAAAGCTGTCCTCTACCAAGAAAAAGACTTAGAAATACACAAAATAACAAATATACAGAAATTTTGATCTTTGTGTTATCTGCTGTGATTTCTTTCCATTTATGTGGGAGGAGATATATTTTTCACTCAAACTTTGAAAAAAAATAAATTCTTCTATTTGTTCCTTATCTAGTTGTTCTGGCTTGCAGGTGTTCAGGGACAAATATTATTGACAGGTATTTCCTGGGAGCTGCCTTAATTGCACAAGTTGAAAACATGTCAATCTATTTTTGCCTCTCCTGAGGACACAGCAACAATCATGCAGTCCAAAGGTCTTTTTCATTGTGATACCACAGCCACACCTGAGCCCAATGAGCTATAAAGCAAAATCTATGAAAAAAAAATAATTTTCAACTCAATTTTTAATAAAAGAAAACTCAGATGCATCCAAATAGTTATTCAGCTGTTCCCTGCAATCTGTTCACTGTTATGGAAAAGAACATTTTATTAACTCTATCTCTACACAAGAGCAGATTTTCTTTAATTAGATGTTATTACAGAACCACAGCTTAAAAGGTAGGCTCTGAGCAATAGAGTACTGATGGTGGAGAGGTAATTACCACTTCAATAAGACATTCTAACCATGTAAGACATTTAAATGATTCAGACATTTTATTACTAGAAAATAAACCTGTAGAAAACCTTCCTTTCATTTTTTTAATAGTTTACAAGGGTCCTATCACAGCTTCAGAATTGGTATTCTCCATTTTAACCTGATGGTGGTTGTTAAAAAAGAACAGAAATAACCATTTTAGATGTTACTGCCTCAAGGCTGTCTGTTGTGACTCACCTCTGGACAGCATTAAATCTTCACAAGTGCCTGCTAACTGCACTTTGGAAGAAAATGGGAGATATCTTTTTGCTGAAATTGTTTCAGATTAGGGATTTCTCTATGAAACCTGTCTCAAGATATCCTCAAAGGCTGTTGGCAGCCTTTTGCAGTGAGGAAGGAAAGGTGCCAGGGCCCTGCAGGACCCACCGTGCTCCTGTGGATGCTGATTTGCTTTCACTGACACCTGAAGGGCTCCTCACCCCCTGTCTGAGAAACAACAGAGATCTCCCTGCAGGCTCTGGACCTAAACCACAGCCACAAAAGAAACAGTTCTTGGCAATGCCTTAAAGGAATTCCTGTGACTTTCGTCCTTTTGGGCCGGAGGTCACCGGGGCCTTAGAAACACGAGGCAGGAATTGCAGTTTTGAGGCTGGCTGAACTTACCCCCTCCTGCAAATGACTTCCAGAGCTTCCAGGTACCCGTGGTAGGCTGCCAGGAGGGTGGGAGTCATCCCATCTTCATCTGAAGTGTTGAGGTCTTTCTTGGTGGCCTCTTTCAGCAGGTCCACGTTGCCATCGGCCGCCGCTTTGTGGTACCTGCTCGACATTTTCAGCAGCTCCCAAAGCAGCTCTGAGTGATCTCCAGGCTGCACAGTCACTCTTCCATCACAGGAGAGCTCATTAATGATTACAAGCTGAGACATCCCTGTGAGGAGGGGAACGGGGAGGCAAAGTTCATCCTTGCAGGCTCTTTGTCTGGAGCTGTGGGTGGGGAATGCTTTCATTTCCTGGAAGGTGACTCTGCCGTGTTCAGTTTGTTGCATAATTGACTCCTTAGAGAGGGGATCCAGGCATCTTCTCAGTGTTTTTGCCTGACTGTTCTGTGGGAATTGCAAAAGGACTTCCAAAATAACCTTCTAAAGGCCATGACTGTCAGTGTGACCAGGTCTCACCCCAAGGAATAAAGTATCCCTGAGTTTGATGGGAGGAAAGCAGGAGCAGTTACCTTTCCTGGTGAAGCCATTTGTACCCATCTTTTACTGGGATGCTGTATTTGAAAACAAGTTCCTCTCCTGCCAAAGCAGGCACTTTCATGGAACCATTTTGTGTACCCAGAATGGAAATGATGCACAGGGTGATGTCTGGATAAAACCCCCAACAGGTCTGCAAGTCACAGCTGGCAAAACCACAGCTGTGTGAGTTGCATTTCATCAGGAGATCTTCAGGAAATTGGCAAATATAAAACTCTTCTGACAGGTATTGTAATCTCTGTTTAGACACAGAATTGTGCAGGATTTCCTCAGGATACCACAAGGAATTCCAGAAAAGGAAACATGATGGGTCTGCACCCACTGCCCCAGCTGGGCACTGTGGTCCTTGCCTGGGAATAGATGGTCCATTCCCCACCACGAATAAAGATTTCTTGATTTAGAAGTCACTTCCCCTGAGTTCAGTGGCATTAAGGGCTACCTCTACAACCAGAAACTTATTGAATTAGACTAATTCTAACTTTAAGTTCAAAAGAATTACTAAGAGCAAGCCATATAAAAAGCCAGTTTTCAAACAGCAGCTAAGTTGGTAAGAGGCTACTGCAGCTTCCTGCAGTGCTGTGAGCTCAGGGTTCTCCTGGCCACATTCACAAGTGCTGCCACACAAACATCACTTTTTGCCAAGCTGTTTTCTGTGACTCACTGAATTAACCTGGATCTCAGAGACTCTACCCTCAGCAATTAGCAGTGGGGTTTTGTTGCTTGTTGTGCCCCCATTACAGAATCACAAACCAACTCCTTGCTCAGAGTTGGTGCAATCCCCAAATGGAATTCTGCCACCTCATTTGCATCCCGTAATTCTGCCTCCGTGACACACCAGAGACCTCTCAAAATGGGCTTTCTCTCTTCATTATTTTCTCAGACAGGCATTGAAGAGCTCTTCAGGAATGAACTTGCACCAACCTTTTTCTTCCCATGAGGACAAGGAGAGCCAGTGGCAGGTTTGGACCTTTGAATAAAGAGCTCCAGGTCAGGGTAAAGCCAAGGCCTGTCTGTCCCTCATGGTTTGGACCTTTGAATAAAGAGCTCCAGGCCAGGGTAAAGCGAAGCCCTGGCTGTCCCTTGTGTCACCCAGACTGTCCCTGGTGTCCCTGGTGCTGTCCTGCCCTCCCAGGGCAGTCAGGATGGGCTGTGCCTCACCCAGGCCAGTGCCCATCCCCACTTTAGAAGACAGTTTTACTCTCAGGTTCCCTGCACTGCATTAATACTTCTCTAATAAATAAATGCAGCCATTTATTCTGTTTCTATTTAACCAGGCTCAGCACAGAGCTAAATTTACAGCTACAAGAAAACCTAGCTGTTGCAGAACAAAGATAGGTAATACATGTGTATATATATATATATATAAGATCAGCTGTTTATTAATGCCTTTGAATTTTATTTCTTTTACTTGGCCTTTCTTCAGGGGTAAAATGATCACCATTCACATACTGCATATACCACCAATGCCTGGTAGGAGAGAAGAAACATGATACACTCATGAAAAGTGATTTGGTGGCAGAAGGGTCCTTTTAATTTTCAAGATCCTTAGTTTTTACTACAGAAGTACCTTAATATGCTTTTCTCTTAATTAATGCAGCACACGGAGTTTGATCTCAGAGTAATTTTTTGCCATAAACATCTGAAAATATTGATTTTAAACTTACCCGGTACAATGCTAAGTGGGAAACCATTGCTGCAAGTTTTAATTAGAGGTAAAGCAAAACCCATGTCAGTTGGGGAGAAGCTGCAGGACTTTGCCAGCTTTATTATTATTTCTGACATAAAAGTGGGCATCACAAAAAAAGAAAGAAAAAAGAAAAGACCAAACAAAATCTTCATCTGTTTCTAAACTCCTGGTACTTGTTCATTGTTGTCCCATCCAAAAACCTCAACTTGAAATGGAATAAATGATTCAACATCAAATGAGGTAAATTTCTCAGCCTGAATGGAGATTATTCTTTTGAGACTAAAGCTCATAATTGTGAACTTTTAAAACTCCCTGGATAGTTAGAATGAAGCTTTTCTTTCCGTGTGTGAAAAGAACTTCAGAACCATTCCACTTCCAATTGAAATGTCTTACCAGGCCCATGAGAAACTCGGTTGTGATGCTACATGGTGTTGTAAACTAATGAATTACTTAACCAGCAGCTTTGATTTGGTTTTGGATTTCACTGTATATATGGTTATAGTCTATTTATTTGAGAACTGTCTCAAATAAAATATTGCCAGTTAAACTATTTAGATTGAAAGGCTGCAGCACCACCAGTTAGGTTGCTGAAGATAACTTGGAGCATAAACCTGCACAGTGATGTTGTTGTGCCATGTTTTGTGTGAGGTGTTTCCCAGCACAACATTTCCTCATTGCAACTTTTAAAAGCACCAAATGTGGTATGGTGAAGGCCATGCAAGGGGAGGCAAGCAAGGCTCTGCTGGCCTAATGAGATCTTTGGAGCTAATGGGCTCAGAGAAGAATGGAATTAGTCACACTGGGTAATCGTGGCTACACAATTCAGAGATGATGACAACATTTAAAGCAAAAATAAGAGTTTATTTCTTCACTTCTTAGGGAGGCAAAACTTCTGTGCCTCAGGACACGCTGCTGCTGGATGTCCTCTTGAGCAGCCAGTTCCCATACCAGGCTGAGGGTCAGCCATGCCAGGCTCAGTGTGACACCAACCTGATGTGATTGCTGCTCTGCTCTGGGTCCAAGGGCATCCCTTGCAGGGCCTGGAAGAGCAGGGCTGGGAGCAGTGACATTTTCTGTTGTATCACAGGGATTTTTGCAGTTTTTGCTGTGAGTGCTCAAAAGTAGAAGTCCTGACTTGGCATTCAGGCTCTTTGCTTTGTTAAAACATTTTCCTTGGTTTCAGGGATCTCTTCTCCATGGTATCTTCACCAGTGCTTCAAAAGCCACATTGAGCTCATTGGTGTCTCAAATGCTGTCATGCTGGCACAGAAAACTCCATTAAAAAAATTACTGCCAAAACAGACATGCATTTTTCCATGAAATACCTAACATGGGAATAACGGGAATACATTATCAGAGCAAGAAAAGGATGCCTTCAAAATAGAGCAACACCTGTTAAAGACTCAGTCTTACCTTAAGGTCTCCTGTGAGTCTCCCACTCAAGGAGCATCAGGTGCGAGTGCTCTGTTCCCTGGGCAGCAGAAAGGTGGCACCTGTGTGAGCCAGACCCAGGGCCTATAAAACCCTCCCTGAGCAGCCCCAGGCCAAGCTTGTGGTGCCCTGAAGAGATGGGGTCTGAGCAGCAGTGCTGGAGCACCTCAAGGATGTGGTGAGTGTGGTTTGGGATACAAGGGGAGCTGGGTCCTTTCCTTGCTGCTCTCTCATTTGATTCTCTTTCCTTGCAGGTTGCTGCTCCTGTTTGGATTTTTGCTGTGCTTAGCCCCTTGTGCTGATGGCCTGGGGGACCAGGATCTCTTGGGTAATGTGCTCTTTCTGGGCTGGCTGTGGTGGGGATGTGGGTTTGGGTTTGCCTGCAGCTGCTTCCCCTCTGCCTTAGCATGGGAGGGCTCTGGAGGCTGCCAGGCTGGGGCTTGCAGGGTGTGTGCCTCCAGGAGGGTCTGCTGGAGCTCATGGTGGCCTTTCTCTGCAGAGAATGTGACCTGCCATAGGCATGGGATGGAAGTTGAGTTTTCCAGAGAGCTTAGCAACTACTCCTGGCACGTGTGTGTTGTTGGTATGTACTGTGCTGCCCTGGCCCTTCTACTGACACCTGCCTGCTGCAGGGCTAACCTTCCCCATCCCTCCTAGATGTGAGTGGGGAGGAGATCGTGTCCTGTGAGCACACTGTGGATTATGAGAGGCTGACACTCAGTGTCCTGTTTGTCAACTGCACCAGCCTGCAGGTAAGGGGGCCTTCATCCTGGGAAGCTGCTATGAAGGAGTTAGGAGATATTTATTTTCTTCCCTGGACAGGGGATTTCTATTTCTTTCCTCAAGGCTGAGGATACTTATAATTCTGATAATCTAAAACTTTTATAGAAGAGCACTTCATGCCAAAAAACTGAAAAATAAAATCAACCCCAAAGCTACTGAAGTTCTTATTCTTTCAATTATCTATTAAATCCCTCAGCCTGTCATGGATGTTATGTTCTCCTGTAGAGGACTTGAATTACTTGGCAGGTTTTCTTGTAGGGAGATGGACCAGGTTCAAGAGTTTTAGAGCACGAATCTACTTAAATATGTATTGACAGACAATTAACACCATATGCTGATCATAGCTGTTGAGGTAGAGTAGTCAGTGGGAGGCCAGAACCAGATGCTTTACTTGTATCTGCTGCTTTTAAGTATTTGAAATACCACAGGACTCTGTTCTGCTGTTTATTAGCTTAGTTTTTTTGGGCGGCTGACTCTGGCACTAAATCCTGCTACTCCTTGGAGTTTTCTCCTTGACTTCTGCAGTTATCTTTGTATCTTCTGCTCTTCAACCTAACTCTGTGCCCCCCTGCTTTCCTAAAGAGCTCATCCTTTTCCTTTGGGCTTTTCAAACAAGAAGTCACCTTGTCCTGGTGCAAACACCTAAGCCAGCTCTGGAGTTGGAGTTCAGGCTCAATGGCTTTCAGTGCCCTCATGCTGCAGTGATTTCTGCAGCCTCTTGCTAATTCATGTCTCTTGTCTGTAGCATGGTCAGCACCAGC